CACAAAATGGTATATTTCAGATAAAGGTTTCCAAACATTTCATTGAGTTTAAAAATTCTAAAAGCACAAATACATGGACCCAATTTTCAATAGTTCAGAAAGTGTAAAATGGCTAGCAAATGAACAGCTTCCAAGAAGAGGATCCAGAGGATGCAAGTAACATTGATATTGTAATGTAGTAATGATAATAGCTATAAAAAATATATCAATATGATGTATTATAAAAACTCAATTATATCAATAATTACAATATCAATATTAATATTTAAAGATATGCTAAAAATCTTTAATATATAATACATGAAAAACAGATTGTGTTGCAATTCCTGTGGCGCTAAGAGTACCTTGGAAATCTCTGTCAATTGTTCCCCTACCTTGTCATTAGATCTTCAATTGGTTTTGGAATATTTGCTATTAAAGGAGGCCTCGTTCCTACAGAATATTACAATGACCAAGATGTAAACATATGAAATGAGCTAATTTTTGTTTAATAACCATTAATAAATCACATAAAATGTGAGACAATAAATGCTTTAAAAGCAACAATGTTTTGGAAAAAAAAGCACAAGGTCCTGTTGTTCACTAGTATTCTTTTTAGCTTTTATGAAAAACACAATTTCACCCACCATTATGAACAGCCCACATTATTCTGAAAGCATTGAATCCAGACATGTCCTCATAAGGCTTACGGCGAGTAATCATCTCCCAAAGGATTATACCAAAACTAAAAAACACAAAATGCCTTTGTTAAATTCACCTCAACTTGTAAGCTACAAATAAACTCTTTATATGAATAATTAAAAAGTTAGAGCGATTTTTTTTTAGTGAACTATGTTAAGTTTCTCTATTGAATATTCGAACAGCTGAAGTAGGCCATTGCTTAGAAATGGGATGGAGCTGGGTTCCAAGACACCTGACACATTTTCAGGCAGGATGGAAAGGTGATGAAGTTTTGATAGACTTCAAAGTAATTATAAAACAGAAACTTAATATGAACACTACTTTAGCAGTAACACATACCTGAAAACATCACACTTCTCTGTGTAATTGTTGCCTGAATAAAATTAACATCACATTAATCACACTGAAACAAACCAGCTATTCAGCTACATCTGTCAGAAACATATTAAAAGGTGTGGCAGCATCCATCCATCAAAGAATTAGTGTTAAAAAATGCAAAGTAACAATTTTATGACACAGATCTAATACACTGTTAACTTGCATACCTTCAAACACTTCAGGAGCCATCCACGCTGCACTTCCCTTGTTGTTTGTCATGTATGTTTTCATGTCACAAGCTGTTCCAAAATCACAAATCTTTAAAACAGTTCCACATTTTGTCAGCAACAAACTGAAAACAATAATTTATCATTACATTTCAAGAAAATAAATGAGGTCATGATGCACAAAAATTTTACTCCAGGATCAATTCCATCAATCTCAACATCTGCTTGCTCGACATAGCCTCCCTATAGCACTGTTAAAAGCCATAACTAAGAAGCTCCATAAAAACAGAAGTCATGTAATACAGCAATAACAACACAGTGTACTGTTTAAATTGCATACTTTGGAGGCTTGAGGTCTCTGTGGATAATTCCTTTGGGTTTGATTCCATGTAAATATTCTACTCCTCTTGCACACTGGAGAGCCCAGCTCATCATATGAGAGGCTGTGTAAATTGGTGCACATCGTGATGAAGGATGTTGCCAATGAAGTACTGAAATTTCACAAATAGAAAGAAAATTCAGAATGAATTAACCCTTCTCAATTCCCCCAAAATTTTAGCCCTTAGAAAGTAATAATAAATCAAACAATATCTCATGCCCATGATTAATAATTTTCTTTTATTCTTGTTCTTTTCTCCTCAATGATATAATTTGATGTTAAATGAGAAATTCCTTCATGGTCACTTTTAGTCTTATCATGTTTTCAATTTCAAATTTTTCCTCAAGGTTTCAAATTTTATACACCCTTTTGACTGCTATTTCTGTTTGTTGAGAAAATGATCAAACCTATATCAAAATTCTTAAACATGATTAGTTATAAACAGCCCAATTTGAGCACTAATAGGACAATGTAGACATCATGCTTGTAATTGGACAACTTGTAGTTGGACTTTGCTGACCAAATTAGGCTCCACTAAGCCCTAATACCAAAACTTATCATAAATAAAAACTCAAAGGGTGTTAAAATGTAACTGGTTTGGAATATATTCAATTTGGAAAATGTTTAAACCACAACATTATCAAGCAGTGATACTGTGCACACATTGATATTCTTACAGTTGTAAAGTGAGCCTCCTTCAGCATACTCCATGACCAGACATACCTACAAAAAGTATACCAATGAATTATGATTACAGTTCTTAAAAGCTGCCTCACTCGGGGCTACCAATAAATCTGTAGAGTAGAACTTACAGGATTCTGGGTGGTGCAGACACCATACAACTTGATGATATTTTCATGACTGATACGAGACAGCTGTTGAACCTGTTAAAAAGAAATACCATGAAATTCATCTCAACTTGGCAATTGACAACAAAAGGTATCTCTAAAGAAAATTTTACAAATTTTCCAGTCTCTATCCCATTGCAGCCCCTATGAACAGCACTAGATAGTACTAATTGATATATGGAAATTGTACAGTGTATGTCAATTTGCCATATCTAATAATGATATCACTGACATTAACTTTAACTAAGTTACATACACAGTATTTTTTTAGTGAAACTGTTTCATTTACCTCAACACTAAATGCTTTCTTTTCTGCTTCAGTTTCAATTGTCTTGACAGCAACAACAAATCTCTGTCTATATATTGCCTTGGAAACAACCCCAAATGCACCTCTTCCAACTGTCTGTAAAGCAACAAGAAAATGTAAGTTTATTTAAACAAACTCCTTTTATTTCACATGTAGGAGTAACTTACAAACTTTCAAAAGGTAGGTCAGTAATCTGTTGAGAGACTGTCAGTAGTTCACTAACAGTTGGCTATTTATGGGCCATACAGTCTGACAAGGTAAGTATAGACATGATTACTGTTACCTATTAAAAAAAAGAGCCACTGAACACTCAAGTGTCAATTCTAGGAAGAAAAGGCATTTTGATGCCATGATTTCGCACTAAAATAGAGAGGAACCATCTGACAAATGTGCAGTTCTAAAGGGACTGATTTATTTACTTTCCTTTCAAAGGTGGCAGAGAAAGGAATAGAGTTCTGTAAGCCACCTTCAATAAGTTCAAACATCAAGCACTTTTACGGGAAGAAATAAAAAACAAAGAAGTTCTTCTAGTATTTTAATTTCTTAAGTTCGATTAGAACATGCACAGTTGCAGCAATCATAGGTTTGTGAAATTTCTTGAATTTTTCCTGACTTTTCCCAGACAAATGTATAATTTCCCTGATGAACTGAATTAATGATTTCACAAACTGAAGGAGTCCTGTTAAAAGCCTTCAATCTCCCACCTCAGCTATCCTCTCCAACCATAAGTTTATGCTTTTAGCTAGTCACTTACAGAGCACACCAACTTATAGTTCCTAAGGTACAGGGGATGACAATATGTTTTCCTCTGAAACTCTACATCAGCTTGTTCTTCAATTTCATTTTACAACATTCTACCAATTCAATACCTTTCATGTCCGTAAAATGTACCAAAGAAATTAAAATGTCAGATATAAGTGAAAAAGGCAGAAAAAGATAATAAATTATTTCATTCACAAACCAACTTAAGTTTGTGGAACCATGTTAAAATAGGGGTGAAAGTCTAACAAATCTATTGGAATGTAAAACAGAAAATAGAAAACCAACAAACCATATCTACTGAATCAGTCAGCTTCAACTCATTCTGAGTACATAAATGTTCTTTTATCAAATCTGTTCCACAATGTCTTTCATCTCCTCTACAAATTATCTTAATGTATCCACTCATTTGTCGGTTATGACCCATGATGTAGGATTTTCATAAGAAAAAACTACATTTCAGAGACTTTGGTCATGTTTAGCTCATGTGTTTCAGACCAAGATCATGTGCTTTTGTATTCATGCAAAAATAATTCAAAGAAACTGAATTACAACAGTGTTTGCTCCAAGTGACTAGCCAATCATAGTGCTTACTAAAGAGGCCTACAGTGAAGCTGGATACTAGGGTCAAATAGAAGTTTCCTTAAGACTGGGGAACCAAAATACTACCATAGGCTCAACATGCCCTGCCGTCACACTGAGTTTGTATATAATTCAAAACTAAAAAAATGGCTGTAAAACGTACAACTACACACGGATATCTACAGGCCTCCGCTATGATAATGATAAACAGTTAAATACTTCCGTCGTAAAATTGTAACAAGTACAAACTCAATCAATTTGATTACTTCAAGATCAATGCGTAAGGAAGAAATTAAAGATAAAATGATAATTAAGTAAATGACTTTTCCTTTGAGATTTCATGACTACGATTTAATTTATAACTCTTCGGCATCTTGTAGCACCATCGAAGCACATGATCGCTTGACTACTGAATTGCTCATGTATGCATGTTTTTCGTTAAGTTTGATAATCATGTATATTTTTACCTCGATTTGCTCAAGTTCTGAACTATCAATTTCTTCCACAAACCCGGGCGGAGCATCGGGTTGAAGATCGTCTTCGTCGTCCATTTTAAATCTTCTAGAAAACAAAGTGCAAAGCCATGGTTAGTTACCTCAAATATCAAATCTGTTTTACTTCTTTCGCCACAGAGGAGGTTGAATCGAAAGTAGATTGTCTACTCATGCATCCGCGATGACTAATCCAAATTTTTTGTAGGATGAGTTAGAAGACCCCCGAAAATTAATATCGTGGTCAATAAAAGTTGTTTCTCTGTTCTTCAGATCTTTACAATCACTTTGAAAGCTGAAAATTACCTTACAGTCAGGAAGGTTGAGGTCGCTCATGTGACAGCCGCCATATTTGTTTTAGCAGGCCAATACATATCCCATGATTCAATGGGAGATATAGGCGCCAAACGAGCATGCTCGATCTACACTTTTAAACGGTCTCTCAAGTTTTATACTAATAGAACACATCCGATCACAACATTTTGGGTGAGTCTTGAGGTAGGTTACTTTGAATACTAATACTGAATCAGAGTTACCGTTTTTCTAGTGACATAGAATGTTTGATGAGCCCTACCGTAGTTTTCAGACGGGGTGTTCATGTTGTAGACATTTGGCAACCTGGCAGAGAATCTTCGATTAGTTCCGTCCGCCCAGACCTGCTAATATTTAATTGTGCTAAACTTCGCCTGGTGTTTATTTGCATTGGTTCAAGCATTCGATGACATCTAACGTACCTAACAAGTCCAGTATACAATATGCGACGGATTAATCGTAAATGTACCGTAGGAAAAATTGCTGGAAAAGTCGCAAGGCGAGATCGAAAAATTCCTATTGAGGATTGTCTGTTAAGTTGACTTATTTTCATTACTTAGTATTTTACACTCAAGGAAATTAATCTATTATGTATTAAAACAAAATCAGGATATTGTGGCAGACATCATTTAAAGGTGGTTTTTCAGAACAGTTTTGTTCTGAATGACCCTGTCAGTAGCTATAGATGATCTTGCAGGGAGCGGTTTAGAGGTTAGGTACCAAGGCGCATTGGGCTGACAAAATTTGTTTTGCTCCACAAAAAATCTGTTTCCCCCAAGTTTTCAATTTGTCAATCACAGGTGCACTTAAAAACAGCAAAATACTTGTTAACTACCTGATGTCAATCTTATGGATCAATAAATTGAGTAGTACCTGTACCTTGAGATTTAGCTTTTAAAAATGAAAACTTGGGAGCCATTATAGTTGTAATATGAGTATCCTCAGTACTGATCACCATGCAGCACCCTGAGGTACAAATCTTCCATCTTCACCGTTTGATTGCTACATTAAAATTTATAAATTTGGCAGAATCTGCCAGAAAGACTCACATTTAATAAGTAGGATCAAATTTTCTTGATTGAGGTATTCCTTTAAATTGTGGTTTGTAAATTGAAAATTCTGTTAGATTTCATGCCTGGCAAAAATTTGTCTTACTACAGGGTGCGACAGCAGTGTCTTTGAAGATTGGTAAGGCTTGTAAAAATTTGGTTGAATAAAAAATCATTAGGTGCATTTGTCTCACTGAACTGATGACAAATCTCTTTGCAAGATAAGCAAAAATTTGCCTTGTGTGCTCAGGCCATAATACTCTCAAAGTCAAACATATTCAAACTAGAGATTTACATGCAGGGAAGCTTGTGATATAGATAAGTCAAGTGAACTTTTTATAACTGGAATATTGAAGTGATATATATTTTCCAGGCCTCTTGTAAAGATGAGCCTTTCTGAAATCTGTGAAAATGCAAAAATGGCACGTGAATATGCCCTGCTTGGTAACTACGACACATCACTAGTGTACTACCAAGGAGTGATCCAACAGATACAGAAGCACATTCAACAACTGAAAGATGATGCCATCATGAAACAAGAATGGCACCAGGTAAGTTTTGCTCTTATAGGGGAACATTTAGATATCTGATCAGTTTTTCATAATGGCAGGAGAAGGTTATCGCAAAAACAGAATGGAGAGGGTAGCAAAAAAGGCATTCAATAGACATGATCAATTCACTGGACTGACAAAGCAGTGATGTGTCATATCATACTTAAGCCTGGAAATTTTGTCCCCTCTTGAAGACTGATATAATGATTCTTTTTTCTTTTATTTATATTGTATTCCTGATCATTTAATTTAGAGGGTCTTTCTTTTTGGGTACATTTGTTATACTGTGTAAGTAAAATTTCTGTTGTGTTTTAAGGTTCGTCAAGCAATTGTCAAAGAGTATGACCAAGTTAAAGAAATAAATCAAACACTGGCAAATTTCAAGAAGGACACAGTACATTTTGGAGGGCCTCGGCGATCCCATGAAGAGGAGCCTACAAGGGATCCTGATGTCTGGCCGCCACCCACTCCAATAGAAAGAGACAACAGGTATGCTGTAAAAAAACCTCTGTCGCTATGTGATAGATCAAGTTTAGATGTTGACAACAGGTATGCAGTAAAATTAACTGTGTCCCAGTGTGATAGATCAAATTTAGATAGAATAGGTATGCTGTAAAATAAACTGTGTCCTTGTGTGATAGATCAAATTAGCTATATACCAAATCACGTTTAGGTTAAAAAGAAAAAAAAAAAAAAAAAACTTCCAGATAGAGTTTGTAAGAGTAGATCCACAAAATGAAAAGAGGACTATGAAAAAGATAGCAAGAGTGTAGCCTTATACTTAGCCTTTCACTCAAAAGGTGAAGTCTGGAAACAAGCTTATAAGAGAAAAGGAGGCAGTTACGCCCCTTCTCAAAGGACCCTGCTCAACCAGGATGCATTGCAGGGGTAGTAAACATTCTCAGCATTTTCTGTATAACAGAAAAGGAAAGCTGCCTTGTGTGTAATATTTTTGGAATATATCTTTGCAGTCTTGATTAAGAACTGGTTTTTTATACTGCCATTTAGTTTCTTTACATGTACATCATCTATCTGCCACATATTTTTGTCATTTTCATTCTGCATTTGCGACAATGAAGCCATCAAAAACAGGACATCCTGCAGGGATGGAAGGCTGCCATATTATGTGGCCTACTAGATCAATTTTAAAAGCATGTAATGAACATTACACAGCCTCATGATTTGGCCAAAAAAATGAGCAGTGAGTTTGAAGAGGTCCTGCTGCACAGAATTTCAGAGGAAAATAAAACAGAAAGCTCTTCTCTGCACTTGGGTGACTGTTAGACAAGGAAACAATTCCATCAATAGAAAGCCTTATCCCATGTCAGTTTTGGAGTAACCCTTCTCTCCTGGTGCAATCAAATTAAGCAAAACATTTCTCAAAAATTCCATCTTGGTATCCTCGATTCTTTAAGCATATTTTGAAACACCACATGTTTTTATTAAACATGAAGTGTGACAAATTTATTCATGGGAGGCATATCACTTCTCCTCTTAGGAATCCTCTCTTTGTCCCTGATGAATGACATGAATGAAAATTCAAGTATTGGAAGGTCTCCATCTCTTTGAAATACATTTGGATGTCAAGGGTCAATTCCCTGTTAAAGTTTGCTTTTGTACACTTTTGTGTCAAGAATATTATTTCTAAGTCTGATTACTCAGCCAATAGTGATGGTATCATGGTACAATGAACAGTTGCTGTTTTCCAGTCTTACAAATTCTTCAGTTTTGCCTTGGGTTTGTTCCACAAACAGAAAATATTGTCAATGTACCTCTTCCAAATTAATGGTTTTGTTGTGCTCTGGGTGATAAAAAGTATTGAGTTCCCAGATAATAACAGTAACAACTGCATGCAAAGCACAGTGGTTGAGCATGGCCCTTCAACCTACCCTTAAATCACAAAGAGAGCTATTCCTTCCTTTATTTACTTACTAAGCCACACTGTCCCAATTTTTGGGTCAACTGAACATTTTCTTTGGTGAGCATTTCCTGATTTTAGATGGCCAAATAGTGATTTTAAGAAATTCAATGGTCACACTTAGAGCAGTGATGTACAGAGTTTCTCTTATTTCAGTGAGCAATTTTTTCTCCAAATAACAGATTAAAGAATATGTTGTTTGTAATAAACCTGCAACTTTTGTCCACTACTGGTTTCCACTGTAGACCCTCCAAGCCAGCTCCTCGACCTGTTGTCAGAAAGAATGATGATTACAATCCATCAGTAGGCCGCCCATCTGCAGCACCAAGCAAGCGCCCTGATCGAGACCGAGGTGGAGATAGAGATCGAGCTGGAGATAGGGGAGGACGCAAACCAGTTTCTGCACCCAGTGGCAAGCCATCTCGTGATGCAAGGCCTGCAGACAGAGGGCGTGCCCAGTCAAAGGGGGACAAGGATAAGGGAGGTGCCAAGAAAGAACAAAAAGTAAATCATCTGCTTTTTCACCATTTTTGTCCTAATTTTTTTCCTTTTTTTAATGACTTTGAAACAAAAAAAGTACAGTGAAACTCATGGTTGTAAAGAACAGATTGATTAGTGAAAGTCTAAACTTGTCAGGAATCTGTGAGCTCACCAAAGGTACAACTGTCTAAGCTGTTCCTGGAAGACAGGTTTTGTTGCCAGCATTAATGCTACTTTTTTTCCCCAATGTCGCGTAGTTTATTTTTCTAATCACGGTGAAGTTCTTAGAAGAGAGTATAAGCTTTGTTTTAAAACAGTTTTGGGAATTATTAAGTTCATAGCCCTCAGGTCACAGAAAAAACTACTCAAATCTATATATTTTTGTGCAGGATGATGGTAAAGGTGAAGGTGATGGTGATGGTGAGAAGAGATTTGATGGGAGTGGTTATGATAAAGACCTAGTTGAGGCCTTGGAAAGAGACATTTTACAGAAAAATCCTAATGTACACTGGTATGTTATTCAGCTCATAACTAGTGTTTTGGCAGATTTGAATTCCAATTTTGGTATGTCTTCAGAGTATTTGACCATTACATGTATATGCCATTGTCTCTCAGTTTTTGTGTACTTAGTTTTTACTCAGTTATCTACTTAAATTTTTTTTCTTTTTTTAACGCAGGAGTGACATTGCTGGACTAACTGAAGCTAAAAAGCTGTTGGAGGAGGCTGTGGTACTTCCCCTTCTGATGCCAGATTACTTTACTGGTATTCGCCGTCCCTGGAAGGTACACAGATGTTGTCTGTCAAGTGTCTTTGAGCCATGGGAATTGAGGAATCCTCCTCCTCCACCCCCACCTCTCCCCCCTCCCCCCCCCCCCAAAAGGGAGAAAAACATGATAAAGTGATCACTGCCATTAATAAATTTTTCACTTTTCACTTTGATAAATTTTTAGAGATTAGACACCCTGAGAATCAAATTGATAACATCTTCCAAGGCAGAATGGTCCATTTTGGAGACCTGAAACATGAAACTTGTTTAATCATAGAAGTCAGTACAAGAGACATGTGTTTTCTTTGTGTAAGCAGGTGAGGCCACAGCTCTTCATGGACTCAATGCCTTACCTATTCAATTTTTTTTAGGGTGTATGCATGGTTGGACCTCCAGGTACTGGAAAAACGATGTTGGCAAAGGCTGTAGCTACAGAATGTGGTACAACATTCTTCAACGTGACCTCATCAACTTTAACTTCAAAGTATCGTGGTGAATCTGAGAAACTTGTCAGACTACTGTTTGAAATGGTAAGAAGCATATATGATGTTATTAAAAGAGTATTGTAAATTATAAAATAAGAAGAATTAAAAATAACGTATTCTTGCATCATTTCATGGAATGGACATGCCAGGAATATTGAAAGTCTTCTTTAATTTTGGTTTCAAACATTTGTTGTATCTTATGAAGAACTTGTGGAAAATTAAGTTTGAATTTTGGTATTTTACAGGCTCGATTTTATGCACCAAGTACAATTTTTATCGATGAGATTGACTCAATCTGTAGTAAGCGTGGTTCAGACAGTGAACATGAGGCCAGCAGACGAGTCAAGTCAGAGCTGCTCATACAGATGGATGGTGAGTGAAGTGTTACCTGTGCCACAACTTTTCAAAACTAAACTAAGATATGACAAAAAGATTACTTTTGACAAAAGAGATGTCAGAAAACATTTGTGGAAACATAGTTGGCGCAGTTAAAAGTGTGTGTTGCTGAAAATTCCTTTAATATGTGTGATTGTTAAGGTAAGGAGGCCCCTGCTGAAAGTTAATTTTTTGAGTTTTTGATCTATAAAAAAACTCATCAATGAAACTTGTTTGCACCCTTCATTCATTTATGCCCAAAGTAACACTGGTTGAAAAGTTCTTAGAAATGTTTATGTGTGCCTAGCAGTTACTTTGCTTTAACAGTCATATGTCCTGGTATATTTTCATTGTCTCTCTCTCTGTGTGTGTCAGTAGAAAATTTGTGTTATTCCTCCAATGAATTTCCCTGTGCTGTTACACTGAGACTAAAAGAAGTTCCAGTCATTTGATGAGAACTGTGTTGGTGTCAGAGCGGAAGTTTAAGCTTGATCTTGTTGTAGTTTTAACGTAACGTTAGCTATGCGGACTCTTTTGGATGTTGAAAGAGTTCTTCAAACCCATTCTTTTGCGACCAAGTGCTCACTAATGCTATTCATGTTTTTTTTTTTCTGTTTTTTTTTTTTTTTGTCCAGGTGTTGGGGGTGGTACTGCAGAGAGTGGTCCTCAGCTAGTCATGGTTCTGGCTGCCACAAATTTTCCTTGGGATCTGGATGAAGCTCTGCGAAGGAGGCTGGAAAAAAGAATCTATATTCCACTTCCTGAAAGTATGCTGCAGTATTTACTCTATGAGGTGTTGCGTGTTATTTGCAAATCTTGCCATATTATTGATATTGACACACAGTTTATTTTAACTTAAATCTCTAAAACGAGCTAAGGTCAAACCTGGAAGAACTTAAGCGTTGTGCGTTTATCTGGTTGTTTGTATGTTTGCTTGTTTATTTGTTGTTTACACTTCTAAGACCATCCCCTCTTCAGCATAGAGTTTTTGCATCTTCTTTTTAATTAACCATAGTAATGTTTCCTGACCACACCTCCAGCTATGTAAAACTTTCCGTCATGTGTGCTTTGAGGCCTTCTCCGGTTGTGTACTTTGTCACATCCTGTCTGAATGTCCTGAGCTTTAAGGAGGTTTGCGATCGCAGAACTCTACTGTAGTTTTTTCACAACTCAGATGCCGTCGCAATACAACAAATTCAAGTGAAGGAGACATGCAATAACAAAACATAACCATTACTTTTACACCGGAGGTGGCGCTTTTTTTACGGAATATTTTTCCTTTTCAGCTATCGGTCGCCTTGAGTTGCTGAAGATCAACTTACGGGGTGTGAACATGGCTGAAGATGTAATTCTGGAGGAGATCGCGAAAAAGATGGACGGCTACAGTGGAGCTGATATCACAAATGTTTGCCGGTTTGTAACGTATATTGTTGTTACTAAATGTTTTCACTTTTCAGGTTTTTTCTATCCGGATATCAATGAAATAACTTCTTTTTACAGGGACGCTTCCATGATGGCAATGAGACGTCGCATTCGAGGCCTTACTCCGGAACAAATTAAAAATTTGCCAAAGGAAGAACTGGATTTGCCAGTTAACATGGAAGATTTTGGTCTTGCTTTGAATAAAGTGTCTAAGTCCGTGTCCGATGCAGATATCAAGAAATACGAAGAGTGGATGAAAGAATTTGGTTCTACGTGATGCAACCATTTAAAAATTTGTTTGCGGGTTCATAAACGTCCTGGCAATATTGAACGATATGGCAGTTGTCTTGTTTGACAATCTCAGTTCTGTTTTATCCTTGTAGTCAGTGTGCTAATGAATCCGATGGTTAAAGTGTGAAATTGTTGAAATCAGTTCTGCATTGCTAACGATTGTGATAATGAAATGTTTATGAAGTAGACTTCGTTGAATTGCGATATCTGTCGCCACTTGTCAGAGCAAAAGATGTGTTCAAGTTTAAATTGGAGACATTTAACTTTATCGAGGTTTGATGTGGGAAAAATATTTCCGATAACCCTTTAACTCCCATGAGTGACCAATACAACATTTCCCTTACAATCTCAGCGCAAAATTAAGCAGACAAGTGCCAAGAAAAAATAGATCAATTAGGGGATTATTAGTTCATCCAATATCAAGTTCTCCAAACTAACACAAGAATTGTAGGACAGACAGTAAGAAGGATTGTTAATGAGATCTCGGGAGTGAAAGCGATAATTGGGAAATTTTACTCGACTTATTGTCGGTTAGTGTCGTCACATAAGAGAAAAATGCCATTTTCCATTCCTATGTTACTTAAATTAATTTTCCTGAATTACCTTTTATTGATAAGACACACCGTAAGAGATTTCTTATCATTAGAACCCTCATCACACCCTTCACCTCAAGTTAGATGCGATAGCAGACAACCTAATACAGGAATATGGTGTACAGTACATGAAAATAAGCTTAATTGGTTCCTACTTACGCTTTCTAGTTCTATTCCCTCAGTTAGGTATGACCCTAACTTAAACGCTGTCCAATTACATACACTGATTAGAATAAGCCCGACACCTCAATAGCGATTTTCACCACTGTTATCCCTAACTGAAAAAATTGCAGTTCTTCACTCGAGACCTTCCTCGTGCCATCCACAGTCATGAATTTTGCGTACATCCGCTGGCCGCACATTGGGTTACTTTCCCCGTCTCTTCGTCACACAGTCAGCTATGACGTCCTTGATGGCCTGCTCACCCAACAGAGTGTTGAATTCTGTCAATGCAGACAGACGATCAAAAGGCTTTGTAGGATAATGAAAGTTGAACGTGCTGTAATAGTTATCAGGATCTTCAAACACGGAGAACTTTGCAAACTCCTTTTCTTCGGCAGTTTTGCGAGGAACTCCTGAGGAAAAATAACACAATGTAAGGCGTTCAGCGCTAGTTCGTATAATCCGATGTGCCTACAAAGATTTTCGGAGAAGAAAGGACGTACATTGCCTAAGATAGGAGAACGAACTGCGGTCCCGCTTCAGCATGAAAAATCTATGGTGAGTCGACGAAATAATTTCAGATTCATTTAGCCGTCACTGATCGAGGGTGCAATTGGTGCGGAGAAAAAAAAACGTTATGGGGAAACAAGGAGGAAACAAGCAAACGCAGCTTTGAACCTTGTGAAAAATCACTAATTTACACATAACTATAAGTCAAATATCCGCAGAAACCTGGTTTGCTTTGTTCCTTGAAAGTTTTGTTGACGAGAGGAAAATGCACCACAACTGGACAGGTAGGATCCGCGGGATCTGTGAACACGTAATACTCTTTGATTCCGTCCGTTTCCAACTGTTCCTTGGCGTTAATTGGAGGGAACTTCAAATTGTTTGCTTTTGCCCATTTCTCTGCCAAATACAGCTCCTAAAAAAGCGAAATATGAGTTGGATGGGACTGAATTTAATAGTTCAATCCCTGAGCTGAGAACTTAAGCTAGATTGTGTAGGTGCAAATTATGGTTCCAAATATAATAATTCCTACGAGGGAAAAGATAAATAAGTTAGCCTTTCCTTGACCCTTTCACTCCCAAGATCTCATTGGTATTTCTCCTTTCTACCTGCCACGCGATGCTTGTGTCGTTAGTTTGGAGGATTTGATATTGGATCAACTTTTAATCCCATAATTGATAGTTTTTCATTATTCTCATCACTTGTCTCCCTGATATTAAAAACATTCTGTTTTAGTCCTTCATAGGAGTTAAAGGGTTAAGTGTCGAAAATTCAGTATTTGTTTTCATTAAACCACGGATGAACCAGGCGGAGGGATCCCTGATTAGACTTTGTCGATCGAACGCGGTAGTATACACTCCCTGTCATAAATCTCATCAACTTAATAATAATAATGATACTACTAATAATAATAATAATAAAAATAAAACAATTAAATCTGCTCAATTACATTGAAAGAAAGCTCGTTGTCCTTCTCTCGAGCACTGAAGTCAAATGACAGGAAAATGTCGACATTCCGCTGAGGTCTGAGTAGAGGCGGATATGGTGAATTGAACAAGAGCCCGCTGTCAACCAAGTAAATGCGTTTAGCCTTAACAGCTAAATGGTCAGCGGTGTCAGCAACCTCTTTAACTTCTGTAAAAAAAAAAAACAAACAAACAAGTAGTATCATAGGTAAAAGGGGTAAGTTTCCACAGAAACTGTGGTGTTGCGTTGGTGGGGTGGGGGGTATTAACTTGGCTTAATGTCATTAAAGAATACTTTGAAGGTAACACTGCAATAAAAATTTTAAGCTCCCTCTGCAAATTGCAGTCTATTAAATAATAACTGAAGAAATGAAAAAAAAAAGATAGAAATAAAAAAATGAAGATAAAACTAACCAGGTTACTCACCGGCCGAAGGGACAGGGGCGGTCATCAATTGAAGGCCGCGTAAAAAGTTGTGCACCAGGCCTGCTCGACCAGATCGCGTTTTAAGGAAGGATATTTTTTCCACGAAGCTTTCCGCTATACTCTTCAGGAAGCCTGGGTCTCCAGAGTCCTCATCTTTCAAATCCTTCCCATCCATAGCACCGATGTCCATTTCATCGTCGCTTTCTTCGTCCTCACTCATGGGGTCGATTGAAACATCTGTCTCTATTGAGGAAAAGAGAGGACAAGTTGCCACTTAGTATGTACGTAAACTTGTCTAAATCCTCTTAACAAATGACCAGACAATAATTACTTACGTAACTCTTGTCTCAAGTCACCAGAGTTGCTCATGTTTTTTACTGTGTCGGTCGGTGACTGGCCTTCGTTCAGAACTCGCTGAAGCATAATGGTGAAAGCGCTACCCCAGATGCCTAGAAAGAAAGCGAAATGGTGCATATTTTTTTAGCCTTGTATATATGAACGTATGACAATAACATGATAAATTCTAAATGTTTTCACCTTTTGCATCAGCGTCAAAGTAAAGAGAGAAACTTCAGCTGCTTACTTCGACTAAAAGAAAACTTATCGCGAAACGTATAAGAAAACAATCTCCCTCAAACTCCCTATTTTAATTTGATGATGTTGTAAGTTTTTGCTCAATGAATTTTACATCCCTCGACTCGTGCTGTGCTTGATTAGTGCTTACCTTGCAAGTAAAGCAGTGGAGGCTCAGGGTAAGGTGTGACCAATTTCCCACAAAAGTACTTGCTTCCAAAATTCTCAGTCTTCATAAACGTGCCATATTTTGTCATCCCTACTTCATAGGGGCTGAATTCGAGCCATTCTACAGGTAGAGGAAACAATCTATCAGTACACAAAATGTTTGATTATCCAGGGGTTTTAGATGACAATTGAAAGATGAATCTAGATGTATTTATTTTAACCTGCTATAAGGTGCCCATCTTTGGTGTGGGCGTAATTATAGGAACTAAGGAGAGTGAATAGTCTTAAGCAGCATGTTCTCCTTAACAGTAATAATATTCTTTCTGATTTTCTTACCGCAAAAGTTCTGTGCAACTTCGTTCTTCTTTACATGCAGACAGGTGTACAGTGGCATTGGAACCGCGGCGTCTTTCACTGCATGGCGCTGTTCGCTCAATTTTGGAACATTTTTCCGCTTTAAAATAATAGAGAACATTTTAAGAGATCTCACGATAGAAATAAAACTCTTTTTTTCAAATGATGAACTTGTGAACATTACTGCAGGAAATGACAATGTCAAAACTTGTGTAATAATTCAATGTGTTTCGTCGGACGATAGAAGACTTCATTTAGGAGTTTATACCAGAAGATTTCAATAACAAGCTTGCATTTATGCACAACGCAAATAGTAGACCTATTTTCGAATTTATGCTCATTAGGAAGCAAGCGGGATGTATTCGCACGGTGTTACTAAGGTGTTGCGCATGCGCGACATTTTCACAGGAGTACACTTATCAAAACTTAGGCCTATTTCAGTCTAATTATAACTCACCTCGAGAAGGAGCAAGTATCAAGGATGCTTGAAAGAGAGGGATCTGGGTACTTACGTCCTTGAGAATAGTTTCTCCAACCAGATAACCAAAGAAATCTGTGAAACTGACGGGCTGTCCACGTGATCTCTTGTCCAGGATGATGTTCACGTGATTGTACATCCATGATGGAGTTAGCAACAACCACATCCAGTTGTCTTTCACATTTTTCCTCAAATCTTGTTTAATTGTACATGGATGGGCCTGCGGCCATTTAGGATGAGAATATAAGGTGGAAAGATACCTAGAATGTTTAAAATTTTTGTCGTAAATGGTTACGAACTTCTTCATTGGCTTTTTTGGGAGGCAAATGCAACATTTTCCTACAGAAGACGGTTGCTTTATCAAAATTATGTTGAGATGTCGATTGAAAACAACCAGCGATAAAATCTTGGAACTCGTTAGTGAGATTTTGAATGTATCCGCGAAATATCTCAAGAAGTATGATACAAGGTCAGCCGTTCTTGTCCTTTGATCTTTATCCTTACAGATTTTCTTTACATATCCAGTAAAAAGGACAATTCTCTTATATTTTTCAATACTTAAAGTTTCTTTATTTAGTGATTGAACTGTTCGAGATTGACGATTAGATGCTATTAAAGCAAAATATGATAATAATAATTCACCAATGTGGGACAGACGTTCACTTCTGACCCCGAGGGGAGAAGGGCCGAGCAAGAGGGTACTCAACGGAATCCTTGGTAGGGTTAAACCACCCATTTTTCTAAAAGCCAACCCTACCTTTCACTAAAACATGACAAACATGCCAGTCGACAGCCCTGACCCCCAGAATTCAAACCCTTGTACATACCAAAGCAAGTCATACGCCATAAGCTTAGTAATGGTGCTTTCCTATAAATCTTACCTTCCCCCCCACCCCGGGACTTACCACGCAGACCCTGACAGTCCTGCTGTGTACATGGCACAGTCTAACACACCCATCTCCTTTAGAGCACAGAATACACCACTGAGAGAAACCATGGCACGAAATCCTCCTCCTGAACCAAGAATAGCAATCGAGGGCACCTAATTATGATTAAACAAACTCTGTATGTCATCAAAATAAGGTAATTTGGTATTACCAACTGAGTTAATAACGTAATAACGTCATTCGCTATGACAAGGAGCTCACGCTCTAAACTCCAATTTTTTTGCTGGCCAATTTACGTTATCAACTCGGTTGATAATACCAAGTTATTCTGTATATCATCATTCTGGTATTTCCCAAATTTTTTAGTTCATTTTCCTCTCAGAATCTTTTTTGCCTTCTCTTTTGGTGTGTGGTGCATTTTACATTTTGTTAACTTAATTTCAAGAGTGTATTTACCTCATCAAGTTCTTTTGGTCCTCGTTCTCCGAGCAGTTTTTTCATTTCTGCAAAAACAACCTTTTTCCTCTTCTGACGAAAATCAGTTTCCTCGACACAAAGGTCCAGGCTGTACCTCATGTCCGTAGGTGCAGAGCTGATAGAAAAATATTAGGAAATATTTCATTTTTCTTTGAAATGGATAAAACGTAAATTAAGCTTCCATTTTGAAAACTGGTGTATTTTTTAAACTTAAACCGACGGAGAAGAGCTAACCGATCGTATTGTCGAATACATAATTGTCATCAACGTTATCTTTATCACTATGTTCATCATTATTATTACTATTATTGCTAAGACTATTATTATTACTATTTACATTATTAAGATTATTACTTGGATTTTTCTTTCGATAAAACTTTGGATAATCCTGGAGAATTTGCTCGATATGCAATTTCATCACACCTTTATCAGTAGGAAAAAAATGAATATACATTTCACAGCGCTTTACCCTCGCCATTCGTCAAGTGTGATGTTCACGGCGGGTAGCTTGTCCGACTTACACTGGAAATCATTAAGGATCACTGAGTTTTTCCCCCGAGAGATATATGGTGAGAAACTCCACACTAGCAAAAATTGTTGATGGTCTTACCATGTTTTAACTTTCATCTCTACATCAACCTCTGAGTTCTGGAACACAACATATAGTCGTGTCAATGAGAGTTTGAATGCTTCATCAGATTTGTTACACGAGTGACATGAAGGCTTAGCATTTGAGAAGAGTTATATCATACCTCTTTGAAGACAAATGTTTTCTGGTAAGTTTCATCGATTTTCAATGCACTTAAGTCAAATGATTTTGTGTCTACCAAATCGTCACTGAGTGTGTCTGACTCCATTAAAGTTATTTCTGAGAAAAAAAGAAAGTTTTAAGTTGACAAGTGAATGGGTCAAAACACATCAATGGAACCTATACGAACGGAATATTTCAGTGAGATCAACAGTGGAATTGAAGATAACTTCTCCAGTTCCTGTTTTTCGATAAGATCTGGGAAAGAAAAAGCATTTCTCGGCTCTTAAAAGAACCTTGCGTTTTCAATTTGAACTGAAGCAACTAAATCTCGACTATATTTTAAGTTAAGTTTTAAGTTTCAATATGTTGTTTACCGAGGTGACCCAATAAATGATCAAGAAAAATACATCTTGTCTCACTCTCGTGTTCCAAATACCATAGGTTGCTTACCCAAAATGTTTTTCACATTTTGATCAAGGTAAAACTGCAATGTTTCTTCCCACACAGGGTTAGCTGTGTTGTTTTTCACTTTGGTTCTCTTCTTGCCATTTGGCGCTGTTCTAATGAACAATTTTACGTAGGGATCCGGTGTATCCACTGAAAGATAAAAATATTTCATTTTATCTGAGGGGGGGGGAAGGGGGGGTAACATATGCTGTGATTTTCTTGAACGAAAGTGAGCGCAGACAACTTTCGCCAATCAATAAAACTGTCTCTCTGCCTCCGAGCTAATTACATGAAGAACATTGATTAGTTAGACAGTCCTCAGATGGAAAAATTTCATGAACTGACTTACAGATCATCACAGACAACAACCGGTCAGGTGAATACCATCTCAACCAAAGGAAGTCCTAAAACATGGTGGCTGTCGATAATTTGTGACACTAACTGAGGTTCCCAAATAAGTCGTTTACAATGCAGGTTCAGCTAACTTTACCACTGAGAGAACATATAACTGTAGCATTTAACAGATCATGTTCACTTCAGTAGACTACAATGAGCAGAAAAAAATTGAACAAAACAGACGACATTCCGGTGGCTACATACACAGTATCAGTCAGTACAAGAAATAAGGAAAACAATGTAACAGTGATTATGTAATGTTTAAAAAACGAGCAGGAGTGTTTTATTGGGTTTAAAACCATGAGGCGTAGCCGAGTGGTTTTTGACCCGATAAAACACGTGCTGCGAGTTTTTTGAACGGCTTCAAAAAACATTCTTGGAAAAGCGTGTGTCAAGAGAGTTCATAACAATTATGCTTTTGTCAACGTTATAAATTAGCATACGAGAAAAACATTCGAAGTTTCAGATGATGTATTGTCTAATATGCCTTTACCAGATTACTGTACTAATGGAATAGAGAATTTTTCCAGATGTGTATTTCACAACTGTACTATTAATTTGGTGCAAAAGTAAATTTACTGTGTGAAATTTGTTGAAAGAACATTAAATATGTTCCCACCATTTGTTGTGTCAGTTTCTGTGTTATATCTGATAAAACACCGCATACTAATAAGGATGAGGTTTATCGATATAAAGTCACTGCACGTGATGTATTATCTACCATTTGATAGGTTAATGGGCTTATGAATTATTAATGAGTTTTTGAATGAACAATACTAACCCCAATCAGAATAAGTGCCCAGGGTAATATTCCTTCCACGTAACACTTTGATATCGAGTAACAAACACGGACGGTACAAGGCCTGCAAAAAAAAGCGAGATAAATACTTTTCCCTTGTAATCATGTAAGTCTACTGCGCAGCTAATTCAGGAAAGGACTTTGAGAAAGTGAACGTATGTGTGCAGCCTCCGAAATGGTTTTTGGAGGATACGAAACAGAATGGAAAGTGGTTTTTAAAGAATTTCATCATGTCTTCCTTAAATCATACATCTTATTTCAAGTTTAATTGCTTCGCATGACCGCACAAACAAAAAACTTCTATACAGTTAGAAAGAAATTATGGTTTTGTATACACTGTATACAGGGATGACACACAACCATTAGAGCGTATCAAGAAAAAGTGATAGGACCTTATTATTTTATGAATTCCTATTACTTTTTCTTGATACACTCTAATGGTTGTGTCATCCTTGTGTCGCAAACTTTGTTATTGGATAAGCTGAATTAATCATGCATTGTTATTGTTTCTTATTTATGATTAAAGAAAGACAGACGCATGAATGGCGTAACCATTTTTTTTTATAAAGTAAAACAACTAGATTCTATGTTGCCGTCCTGTCTGTTCAGTAATCTATCACAAAAGATGTTTACTACATAATTTTGGTAAAGTCTTTAGCCAACTTTTCTGCCGATCGTACGCCACCTACTCATAATTTAATCAGTTTCAAAAGTTAGTTCGAATGCGATATCATGTCTCCCTTGAGAGCATCAGATGCGACAGGACTGAAATGTTGAAGACACGATCTTCCGCGTAACTGACCTTGGAATGGTGTGGAATGTTTCTCTGATTTTAATTTTTTCCTGAACAGAAATAAACATTCGATTGAATTATCTGGGTCCCTCTGAAAGAGTGTGTTTTCTTCCAATCGTTGTATTCCAAAGGAGGCTCACGTGCTTCTCCATGATTTGTAGTAGTATTTTAGGTAAAAAGTCGACCGCAAAAGTTACTGTTTTGACTCCTCCAAGGTAAAGGAATTCAGAAATGCAAATTCCCCGGCCCACGCATTAATGTTCTTATTATTGATAGCGGATTGTGTTTCTTTTATCAGTCGGAGGAGCGTGGATAAAGTGAGTAAGTTTCTAAAGTAGTGCTGCTGCATCAGTGGAAGAGTCCAACAGGGTAATTTAGTATTAGCGACTGAGTTAATAAGGTAAACTGGCCACCGTAAAGAGTTTCAAACAAAGAAAGACCTTTCGTGCGTTATCCCTTCGTCAGAGCGAGCGTCAGTTTTGAAACTGAAGGAGCGTGGAGCTTGTTATTATAAAGAGAATCATAAATAGTTTATTCACTTTTTTTCTTCATAGGTAACTTGATTCATTATCTCTTTCGGTTGCACCCAACGCTGAGTCGTCGCCATTGTCCATCAGCAAAACTCTGGTCTAGACAAGTTTTACTTGAAAGTTCGTTAGCACGTGTCAATTTTGTTTTTAAGTCGACTGGGAATCACTATTGAGAATAAATTTCCTAGAAATGCCTTCTACAACCAGTCAGATGCTCTTTATCGCCAGTCTGCATCACAAGCGAACTGCTGCGTCGGTGGGAGAGTACAACAAGGTAATTTGGTATTATCAACTGAGTTGATAACGTAAATTGGCCATCGTAAAGAGTTTCAAAACTGAAGTTCGCTCTGACAAAGGGCTAACGCTCGATACAACACTGGTATAAATTTCATAGAAATTCCTTCTCCAACCAGCTAGATACTGTTGGTCGTGAGTCTACATCAAAAGCGAACTGCCGACAAACTAAAAAAAAGCCGAACACATGTTGTGAACACTAGTGCTATTATTCAGCATGTTCCGCTCACCTGATTTTCTGCCATCTTCTAACTGCTACTGTATCAATTTGGGAAACACAACAACGCCGTCTTTCTTTCTTGAAATTTTGAACGATAACCGATATGGAAAAGGCGTTTCTTTCTTCACCAGAAGTAGCGGCCTAGCTATTTATAGTGTCTGCATTCGTGATGACCGCTCAGGCGTGAAGGCAAATGGATAATTGTTCAGTTGTTAAGAGACACGCCTGTCTAGCTCAAGTATGTCTTTTATCCTATTTATCTAATTAAGTAGTCCGTACAGTTCAAGGTACTGGGCGAATAAACGACAACGGCAACTTGTTAATGTTCTTCGTGAAACACTCTGCTCCTAGGAGTCCCACGGTTTGCGTAGTCACTGTTTACATGTAATGTAATGAAATTTGACCCGATTTCTCTTCGTCTTGCCCTTTGTGTTGACGCTTTCTCAAGAATTGTAATTGATAGTTTTTTCACAAGAATACAAACTATGTGATCTTTGTGGCAAATAGAGTCCAAACTAAGTCATTGTGGTGGGTGCACCATGACCCATACCGCCAGAAACACGACATTGTATACTTAAATGATAGACGTGCCGAACCATGAAAGTTCATCATATGATCAGGATAAACGATTTGTCACTCGATACCACGGAAATTATAATGATTTTTAATCATTATGAATTTCCGTGGTGCCGATTGACAGATTTGAACTAAAAGTTAACAATTTTAGTTCAAATCTGTTCTGTCCTCGCGTTCTATTCGCCCAATATGTAAAAATCTTAAAAATGTTTTCGAGAAATAGCCGTCGCACGGTTTCCCTCCGCGTATCTTCCTCACTCAGTTGGCTGTGACATCCTTGATGGCTTCCTCACCCAACAGAGTATAACCTGTTCCAGACATTCAGTGACTTAAAGAAGAAAGATAGTAAATAGTGGCGGAGAAGTGAAAACACGAGAGGGGTTTGGGTCCTTATGAGACCCCTGCACGAGAGTGGAAAGAGGTAAAAACCGAAGCGGCCTAAATCACATGATAAACATCTGTTTTACAAAAGATAATGACAAAAACTTGGAGCTGTTGGATCATGTCTTGTATCGATAGGAGGGGGCGTGGGTTCTATTAGAAACCGCAAAACCGTAGAAAAAAATAATCCAAAATCACAAAACCGCAAAAACAATTCAATCCAAATAAGAAACCGCATGTAAAACCGCCAAAACCGATAAATGTTCACATTATCAAAGCTGTAATCGTTTCGATGCAGGGGTGGGTGACAAGTGGCGCCTACAGAGGTTTCGCGGCCATTGAAGATCATCAGTGGTGGTGCCTAATTGCCGCTCAAATCGAAGAGAAACCGGAACTCAAACAGGAAAAGTACCGAAAACCAAATGCTTAAAAAAGAAAATTCGCAAACCGCAAATAACACCAAAACCGAAAAACCGAAGTTTTTTTAGCACAAAAACTGAAAAAACCGATCTCAAAAATAATCATAACTGCAAAACCCCTAATGCCCCCCCCTCCGATAGTATAGAAAGCAATAAAACATGAAATCATTTTTGTAAAAGTACGATCAACTTTCTCGAATTGCCATAGCGAAAAGTTATCAATGAGTCTGAGATATTTACCTTTATCAAGTTTTAAACAAGAAAAAAACTCCTTTGTTTTGATGCAAAAATGATGAAACAGTAAGCAAGGCAGTTGGAGAATGATTTGCACTCGACATTCCTCCGGTTGGTTGTGTCACGTGATATGTAGAAATGGAAATGGCGCGCGTGAAAAAAGTCAGTCTATATATTTTCCCCTCATACGTTACTTAACTTAATTTCATTCAACTTGCCATTGTTGATCAGAGATACTGCCACGGACTTTCAATCACTACAAATTTACGTCACACAATACGCCTGAGGTTTTATTTTTACTATTACAAGCACAATTAACTGACAGTTTAACCCCGAAAACATAGCATGTCGAGCGATTAGCCCAAGTCTAGTTTGCCCCCTGCGCATTCCAGTTCTATTCCCACAGTGAAGTTACGCAACTGACGCTTCTTAGTTAAACACGATTGATTAAATAATCCCTACACTACACTAGCAATTTTCATCGATGTTTTATTTGTATATCTTAGTAAAGAAAAACGCAGTTAGTAATGGCTTCCATTCTTCGTGGAGTTCCCGTTCACTCCATTAGCCACTCCTCGGTTTTGCTTCGCGTCTCTCGGATGATGGTCAGAACGAACGAATTCGTAAGAGTACATATACCAAAACTGGCTTGATGGAGTTATTTCCTGGCGGTTTCTAGCTAATTTTCCTAAATTTCGAAATCATTACGCAATGTCAATTTCACAATAAAACTTTCACATACAAGCATGGGGAAAACTTATCGGTAGGTTTTAATACATATCATGGTTATTCAACCAAAAACTTACGCTTCCCTCACATCTACATTACCTTAATCAATTTATGATGAAACAGCCGAAATAGGCGATTTCCTTTCTCCAAAATCACTTTTTAGGGCGTCGAAACAATCTTTCGCCATCACGGACTTGTTAGATGATCAACTTGCGTAATAAGCTTCATGGCGAAATTATAAAAGTTTGTATAGGAATATATTACGACCGCTCTTAGGAAGTAAAAATATAGTCAAATTCTCGATAAAAGATGCCTCACCTTACTTCCACAGCGCATCGCTTGTTGTCTGACCACTCACTTTGTTGAGACGAGGCCATTTTATAACGAGGTATCCATTTCTAGGTTTCCTGGAAATGGATAACTCGCTAAAATGGCTTCATTGCTTACCTGAATTTGAGTCATCTTGCTCCTTTTTTCAGCTGGTCCAATCAAAATGTCAGTGTTTCTGTGTTTTTTCATTTCACGGTTAACGGTACAACACTAAGTTTAGTTAAGCGATAAGTCTACTGCGTAAAGAACACTTTTGATTTATTCATCCTCTGGGTCGGTGTATATTATATGCTGAAAAAGCATAATCCATGGAATTTTGAATGGCTAACTCTTCATTACATGTTAATTATCTTTTTTATTCTTTTAACAACAATGGAACGCCAAGTGAAAACCAGGTATCGTCAAACCTCACTCGTGAAAAGACCTCCAATTGTTTATGGTTATATAGTAGATCGCGTACTTTGTGTCTTTTGACAGTTTTTTCCAGAACAAAATAAAAGAGGTTTTCTTTTGTGACATATTAGGTTCAGGAAGATTAAACAACAAGAAAATTCTCAGGACGTTTGATCATCACTATCTAGAACTAGAATAGGAGGCACAAAAGAAAAACTTGTCACAAGACCACAGGTGTCACCCTTCCAAGGATGACATTTTTAATTGGCACTTGGGAATTTGGTTTTGTCAACTGAGTTGAATCATAATCATCAAGAATCATAAGTAATGGGCTCCTGTCATAAGTAAAGTAATTTAGGTTTGCATTGCTTTTTTGTGTTAAGACGCGTCAAGATCTGACAAAGCGAGAATTTGCTTGGATCAAGTTCACTCCAGCCCTTACTAAACAATACAACATTCTCACGCCAGGCTTCTTTACGGAAAATAGCAAATACTGAACGCGGCATAACATAATCATAGAAACCTAGTGTTAATAAACGTTGTTTTGACAGGACTCTGCAAAAGGAAACATGCAGTTGTTATGACTTATCTGAAAACAATGGTTGTTTGTGCAATCATCGAATGCTGTTCATAGTGCATGACCCCTCTCGCCAAACTTCCCCTGTAACCAAATATTTGATTATATCGTAATTCGGAAGTTAGGAACAACGCGTAAGTCTGCAACCTTCCTCCAAGGAATGAATATTAATTCAGCTATCGTCGTTCACTAGATAATAGAGATGATAGTTGATGGACGTGCATGTAGCCAGTTCTTATTGTGAACTTTGACTAAGGACGTAGACAAAGTGCATACGCAGACTGATATAAAGCTTGTTTCACTTGGGTTGTTGGAGACTTAAAAATTGGAAGTGGAATAAAAATAATGTGGAGAAGAACAAGATATATACTGTTATTCAAATAATGGTATGAAGATAAACTTTTCTGAACAACTGTATCGTTATTCAAATAGTAGCCTCTATTTGGCGCTAAAAATATGTACGGATATTTGTCCGCGGACATTGTCTGTTCCAAGATGCGAACAACTTTACGAGAGTAAATCTTGAGGAAAACTGTGACCTTCAAGCAGCAGATAATGTCCAAGGACAAATATCTGTTAATATTTTCGCGCAAACTAGAGGCTATTTTATTTTATTATCCTTCAAATATTTCGCAACGCGCATGAAAAAATCTTTACGAACGGCTTATGGTATGCATCGTGGGAAGTTTTCTTTAGAAGATTCTCTGGTACGACTTAATGAACAAGAAAAGGATTTCCCTTATTCTGTAAGAACCGCAAAACCCTCTCTCATCTTGACGTTTAATATAAAGACTTATCGAAGTGGACGTAAGGTTTGAAAACTAGGGAATATCGCTTGGGTGATATTACCCAGTTTTAGCGGGGGGGGGGGGATATTCGGTCACGTGCTTCATTTAGACCAATCAAAAATATTTCATGGATCATAATAAGTATTATTAAGATAGTATTTAATTGCATTTTGTATTCTTGAGCTTTGCTGAAAGTACCCAAAAGTTATTCTGCATGAAACAAGTCTATTAAAGTGATTTCACCCCAATGGCTGCATTTATCAACTTTACCTCCATTGCCTTTTCAAGGTAAAAAACGTGAGTAGCAATCACTTCACCTGATAGGCTTCTTTGGAATATACTAAAACAGTGGATAGCCCTGAAGGTGTGCTCTGATTTGTAACTCACACTATAAATATCCTTTGCTATTCACCTCCAAGCAGTGTGCACAGGATTTGCACCCAAAAATATTGTAACCATTGCAAGAATAAATGAGTTAAAATCATCTTTTTGTACAACAATAGCTCACTGATTTAGTATATACTAAATCAACTATTCACCTCAGTGCTGATGGGTAGAAGTGAATATTTACCTCACCGCTTCACAGCTTGGTAAATTGCCACCTCCACTTCAGTGAATAGTTGTTAATTAGCATAACAATTTGAAAAAAATTATATGCACTTAAATCTCTACATTGCAAAATCATTAATAAATTTTCACTACAGATCATGCAATCCACTGAAACAGGAGGTGACATATTATGCACACCAACACTAATGACAGACAAAACTATATCAAAACTTAGTCAGGTTTGAGTTTTAGGAAAGAAAAGTACTAAGTTACACTCCCTCTATTTTCCATTGTTAGCCTTTGCAGCAGCTCCCTCTGCATCTTCTTGTCTGAGCTTCTCATATCTTTGCACGTTCACTTCATGTAATGATACCAATGTTTGCTCCTCTCTACCCTTCTGAGAACTTTTTATGATGTAAATACATGCTGTAAGAGTCAGAATAATCATGATTCCATTCACTCCAATGCGTCGTCTACTATTTGCTCTTTCCATAGTGGCTGCACTAAAAAATATGTAACAAAGGAATAATCACCAGCTGACCATAAACTCCTCTCACAATTGTTAAAAAGAGTGGTATGGTGTACCCTTAGATTACCAAGGATAATAAGACTTATTAATTCCACTCACTTCTTAAGTGGTGATCTGGTGTGTTCTTATGAAGAAGAGAGTGAGTGATACATTTGATACAGGATAGCAGGTAGCACATACAAGGTGTTCAGTATCCATTGATTATGACAGCATTATAATCAGTTCAAGTCTCTTAACATTATAAAATATTCTTGCCATCCTCATCAGATTAAGCAACCAATGCAGACATTAAACATATTTTTAAATTAAAACAAGTCAAGGCTACAAGCAGTGTTCTCCTTTTCAGGCAGTAACCAGTAACATTTATTGCCTGTAGTACCTCTTATTACCATTAACAATTGATTGGAATTCTTGAAAACTCAACTTGTAAAAGGATTGCTTTACCGGTTTGAAAATTTATTTCACCTGTCATGCTCAAAATAAGGGAGAACACTGTACAAGTCAACACTTAACAAAGATTAAATCAGAGGATTCTCCATAACCACAGGTCTCTATGATATATTGATCAACACAAGCATTTTCTTATTCTCAACTTTCCTTACAGTTTATCAAACATTTCTTACAGTCTTAGCTCTGAAAATTTGTCCTTTAAACCAATAGAGAGCCCCACTTGACATTTTATTTAAATCTCCTTTTCTGCTTATTTGACAGTTATTGCTAGAGCAAGGAGAAATTGCCTCTTAGTAACTCCTGGTAGAAAAATTGGTCAACAGTTTTAAGCGGATTTCTTACATACTTAAGGAAAGTTTTTGTGTAATAAATCAAACTATCATGCTTTTATCCTCCCATGTGGATTAAGTCAGTATAGGATGTAAAATACAACCAAAGCTATCTCCAATCTATCTATCTGCTGTAGGTATAAAGTTTTAATTCAGCAAGTATATATAACTTTTCATTTTAAACACTGAATTCTGCAAGAAACCCCCTGTACATTTTTAGGAGACAAAACTATCTTTTAAAGGTATTATAAAATTTACCATTTATTTCGACTAAATTTTACATCTAAACTACAAGTATTACAAGCACCTTATTTTTTTCTATTCCCAAAACCTAAATTTAGAGTTAAAAAAACAAAACAATTAAGGTGAGAAATTATAAATTCAGAGCCAAAATAAACCAATAAAGAAGTTTGTTTATCAATTTATTGCTCTTATAAAAGCAAAATTTTCAAGTGTGCAGAGTCACACTTCAAGAACTGAAAAGTGCCCAGTGATTAGTGCACAGAAAAAGCCATTGATTTCATAAGATCTTTGCTCAAGAATATTTCATGATGAGTCAAACAGAGACAACCAATACAAAGCCAAAATAAACCACCAAGAGAAGTTCACTTCCCTGTTTGTTGCTCTTTAAAAAGCAAAAATTTCGAGTTTACAGCATCATATTTCCAGAACTATATAGGGGCCAGTGATTAGTGCACAGGAAAAGCCAATGATTTCAAAAGATCATTGCTCAGGAGTATTTCATGATGAGTCAAACACAAAGACAACCAATACCTAACAGGTAGAAGAGGGGGTTCACAAAATCATTTACTCACGTTACTTCAGCTGGTATTGGTGGTTTCATGGTTCTTGTGGCAATCAAAGTCAATCTGTCAAAAGCTGATACATGATGCATCATGGGTATGCCACTCTCTGTAACATAATCAATAACAAAATTTGTTTTTGTTTCTTAAAGGTAGGGTGGTAGTGAGTTGTCACCCAATCAAAACCAAAACCAAGCAACAGGTCTGGGAAACAAAGGTTTTGTGTTCTCTTCACATTACTGCCAGAAATCAACCAATACAAAAGAATGGTGACTCAGAGAAAACCTGCTATCCAATTGGCCTCGTGGAATGTGTCTAATATGAGAAGAAACTTACTGAGAAAAAAAAATTGGCCCACCAGAAAGAGAAATGTACTTGCTTAGGGTATGCAGACAGGTGTTTTCTTGAGTCCCAAAAAATTTGTCATCGCTGAAATTTCATTCAGTAGCATGTTAAGCTTAATTTAACTCTACATATTGATTGACAAGTATCAGTGTAGTCTTTAGCAGTAGTCACGAACATATTAAGCTGAACGAGGTTGCCTCCTTGATTCCATTTTTGTTCATATTCTTTAAGCATGATCTACCTCACTTTTACCTGATGACGAACTGCTCATTCGCTTTTCCACATGACAAGAAACACGACCAAACGTTCGTGGCCTCGCATTCGTCGCGTAATGACTTCGCGCTGGGGCTGCAGCAACTCGAGATGCCACTCCTCGGAGTAAAGAGGAAAATGAACCTAAACCTCTTGAAATCATAATTCGTAACAAACTAAGGTGATTTTTCGTTGATATAACCGTCTACAATCGAGATATAATGTCTGTAAATGATTGAAGTGGGATGCATCGCCTCGTTCTCATGACATTGCATGACGTCACAAGTGTGCACAACTGTGACTAAAATCACGTACAATGTACCAGAGCTTCATGGATACGATATTATCTTTTTTGTATTTAAAACGACATAGTTCTACTCGATATCATGGAAGCTCGGCAGCTCCACTTCCGAGAAATTTGTTTCTGTTAGTTTACAACTATTTTCTTTTGGTATTCTCAATTTTTAGGTGGCCATATCCACATTTCGTGCGACATTTTCGTCCCGTAACTGACTGCAACAATGACCAAAAATTTATTGGATATCCTATGACACGAAAGACTTACACGAGTCGGAATCATCCAATTACTCATGGGGTGATTGAGGCAGCTAAATATATTGTGTTGTCGTCAATGATAATGCAACCGGCATACGAGGGCTTGACGATCACGAAGTCAGTACGTTACACAAGTTATTGGAAAACGTAACTGTAGGAAAATCAATTTGGTACATTATTCATACAATGTATTTGGCTTAACTGCTGGGAGCCAAAAGTATTGCGTTAAGACAGTAGATGGATTCTATGGCCATTATCATCGTCATTATCATGAGTTTCATTGTTATTATCATTATCATGGTTATTTTTATTACTGTTGGTTCAGTTAGTATTAGACGCTAGATTACATTTTACAGAACGGGTTCTTGACAGTAGGTGGTTATGTGATTTAACATTGAATTTCTCCTCCACGAGCTCGAGTTCGTAGACTAACGTCCAAGGAGATAGTAATTTTTCCCCCTCTTTATCACTTTGAACCAACTAAAAGGAGATGGCTAAGAACACGTCGACTGTCCTAAGTTGATAGACCTACTCATGCTGAAGTTTAACTGAAACGTCACTGATGGAGTAGGAAACCGGAAGTATATGTGACGTAAGGACATTCAGCATTCCGGATACAAGTGAAGCTTAGAGAAATAGTGTTACTTTAAAATCGACCAAATAGACGGTATGGTTTCTGTCATGAAGACTTGAAGACTGGGAGTGCGTAATGCAAGTCGATTTATAACAGTCTGCAGGATCGGCAAAATCAAAGAACTCTAGTTTAGACCCCCTCCCCTCCCTCCCCTCCCTCCCCTCCCGCCCTGCTCCCCAATTCAGTCCTAAGAAAGAGATCTTACTTTGCCCCAATTCCTCAGGCCCAAGTCATCTGTCATTGTTACTTGCCTCCCAAACAGAGATTTTGTTCAGCCTTCCGCTATAAATTGGCTGTCGTTTCCAATTAAAACTCGCAATAACCTAAAAACCTCTTTTTGTTCATTTTTTCATTTCGCATGAAAAGAGAAGATTGAAGTAAGAAGGGTAATGCGTGATATAATTTTTTCCGGGTCACGTTTTTGTTTTCATGGCAACAGAAAATTAAAAAATCAGTTAGAAATTGTTTACTTTTTACAGACTACGTCAATTTATTTTAAAAAATTACGAAACTTTCACACCCACGTTGTTTGCAATCATTGCGAACCTTTCTACTCGAATGATAAAAAGAACTGCACAACAGTCAAACGTTAATTAAACAAGTATGAAGCCTATCGACTTCCATCCCTTTCAAAGTCGTTAGGATAAAAACACACAAGGAAAAATAACTTTCCGGTGCAATATTCGCACGTCGTCAAGTAAAATAAATTCTTAAGGCAGCTGGAAGATACTTTACCTTGAAGCAATTTATAGCATAATTGAGTACTAGCAGCACATATTTTGGTGTTCATAATCTGAGTCAAGCTTCACAAAAGTATCCGATAAAACCAAAGAACCTATATACAATTTTGGTATAAGAGAGCTGATGAGTGAGTCACCGACAGAATTTCATTACACATTTTGCAAATTCAAACTATCAGAGTGTGTTTACTTTGAATTCCATGAATTGAGAAAGTTTACCTGATTATCAATTAGTTTGAAGGACAGCTGCCATGCCATTTAAGGTAGCTTTCATTGTGGTATCCTTTATGTCTTTAATTTTACTACGGAAAGCTGTTATTGGATGAGAAAAAAACGTGTTAATTGATCCTTTTTGCGAAATATCGAAAAAGAAAATCATCACTGAACATCATGGTAACTAAGGAGGAGTTTTCCTTTTATGATATCAGTTTGGGAGCCAAGGGTTTTTTTTCTTGCACTTTGATAATCACAATATTTCCTTCTGATGCCCTGGAGGAACGTGAAAATCAACCCAAGCCTGAAATGTTCTTGATCACGACAGGTGCGAAATTCACATATGCGGTAATATATGCATCGGGGTATGGCGAAAAACGCATGTAATAACTAGATAGCTGCCATATTTTCTCTCATTTGAGCTTATAACGGGAAATCACTGGTTTGTTGCACACACTGAAGTCCGAACCAGAGAGATAACGTGCGTTTAAGAAAAAAAAAACTGAATTTGACGAACTACGTCGATCGATGAAAAAACTAATTTTCTTCCACTTCGTTAAAAAATGAACGAAACCTTGGGCAACATAAATGGCACCTCTTGGCAAACAGTTTTTATCTTCTGCTGGTTTGGTTCAATGAGCTTAATCATTGCTATTTTGAACACTGCAATTTGCACTTTGCTTTGGACGCAAAAGCGACTTCACAACATCAGCAACTTGTTCTTTGTCAACTTGGCCGTTGCAGATATTTTGGTCGGCTTTGTGGCGATACCATGGAAGATGTTGTACTTTGGAGTGTCACCCGTACCTCAGTGGCTTACAGCAGTTGTCACGGCCGTAGATTATGTATTAAGCTTATCTTTCCTCAGCATTTGTGCCCTAACCTACGACAGATATCAGGCAATTCTCCATCCACTAACATACTGCATTAAAATGGGCGTCACAAAAGTGTGCAAAGTTCTGTTTTTAGTTTGGATTCTACCAGGAATGAACTTTCTAAAGCTAATTTGGATGCTGTCACCAGAAATCTCCTTTCAGCCCTTGAACGGCACTTTTGATGCATTTCTTTTTTCTTTCTTACTAACAGCAATTGGAGGAGTTGTTTTTGCTTATGTTCGAATTTCTTGCGCGGCCACAATGCAGGAAAACCGAGTGCGGAAATTAAACGTCCATGCCTCGAGAAATCAACGATTAAAGTTTAGCAAAGCAATAAGGTCCTGCCTCGGTGTTACAATCTGTTTCGCGTGTTGTTGGTTGCCACGAGGAACCTACTTGATTGCAAGAAGTTCTCAGTTTTCTACGTCTTACGAAGAATACGATCTGATTACATTTGGCCTGATGTCTTTATCGCCAGTTTTAAATCCAATCATTTATTCCATCTTCAACCGCGACATTAGAAGAACGTTAGAGGTACTTTGGAACAGATGCCAAGAAAAATCGAGATTGCAGAACCAAAAGTTTGGAAGTTCTCACGCTAGTTCATCACGGACAGTCAACACGATCACCCGCAGCGAACACATTGAACTGTCAAGAAATGCAAATTTGTAGTATCATGCAATTTAAAGAGGGCTACTTGTTCCTTAATTTCAAAATATAAAGAGTTAAAGATGACCATCGCATTAATCTCCGCGTTCTACTGGAGACAAGAGGGATGGTACGTCAGCAATTTTAGGGCAAAAACGGAGAATCAAAGTAGACCAAAAGTTGGTACTAAGAATGTCACAGGATTGATGCGGCCGTTTGAAAGCCTTTCTACAAGCCATAATGAAGGAACCTATAACTCCTCTAGCAGGTCATTCTGTAACGCGTTGGTTTAGAAGGTTACGCTAACGCGGTAAAAGTTGACTCAAACCAACCAACGTTAAAATAAGCTTTGAAAACATCGCATGCCAACTAATATGTTTGAACTCCAGAGACTGTCGTCCAGCCATGTAGCAAAGAGAAGTTACCCGCTATGAAGCACGGTTAGGGCATTCTTTTATCAGGAACAATGAATAATTTTCACTTTCATTGAATAAGAAATTAAAGTCGCCTCCGGGTCAATCGAAAAACACCCCAATAAATATGATAAAAAGCTGTTTACTATTTGTTGATGTTTCGGCTAAATATTTGACCGTGTGTAATGAATTCATCACACAATTTGCGCGAAAGCAAAGAAATCCTTAAAGAGCGTAATACACTGAGTTTCAAGGAAAATTACCTGTCCAACGAGTCTTTGTGCGACTTTCTGTTTCAGTCAACGTGGAAATAAGCTCGTTAAAATTCTTAATCTATTTTCATCTGTCCGCCCCATCAGGGGTAAAATAAATTCATATTTCGCTCAATTACTGGAAAACAAATATGTTTGCAACTTACAAAAATTTGGTGTCACAATTCTCATTTTGAACTCTTATGACGTTGTGAAATTTTTACAAGTTACAATTCAAACTCCGCCATGTTTCCCCAAGAAGGACCCGCCTTCATCTTAACAGGCAGAATAACAGAAAGCCTCATAGCGCTCTCCATTTCTGTTTTAACAATTTGTGCCACTTTTCTTAAATCACTCTGTGACACCTCAAATATCAGTTCATCGTGAAGTTGCAAAACAAAATATCCACCAATAGGTGTTGGCAAATCACACCTTGAACGCCTTCCCTGGTTTTTTCTAGGATGAAAATCCGGAAGGGAGTGTCTGTGCGTCATGACACATGACGGAAATTCCTCGGTCAACTTCTTATCAATATTGATCATGGCTATCTTTACCAAGTCTGACGCTGAACCTTGTACCGTGGTGTTTACAGCTTGTCTAGCTGCTTGGCTCTGCGCATGCACGTTCGGTGAGTTTATCGCCGAAAGAAACCGTTTCCTTCCTGTTACTGTTTTCACAAAGCCTTGCTTTTTGCACTGCTCTACCGTATCTTTCAAATACTTTTTCACTCCAATGTAACGAGAAGTGAATTTGTCGATGAACAAAGCAGCTTCTTCGTCAGTAAAACCAAGCTGTTCTCCGAGGGCTTTGGCGCCGATGCCATAAATGATGCCATAACATACCTGTTTGGCGTGTTGCCGCTGTTCATCTTTGATAGATTCCGCTGGAACTTGATAAAGTTCACCCGCGATCATTCTGAACACGTCTCCTCCTCCATTTAGAATTTTGATGAGTCGACTGTCCTTAGAGAGGTGAGCTATGAGCCTCAGCTCCAGCTGAGAATAGTCAGCGGCAAAAAGAAGGCCACTTTCAAAGGGTATAAAGGCATTTCGCATGCTCACTGAGAACTTAGGAGTAGTTAATTCGGTCCCAAGCTTAACATTCATCGCATTGTGTCGACTCACTCCTCTTTTGCCTCGATGGGAAGAATTCCTTTGGTCCCCGGCTCCAGGAGGAGGACTCTCGGCAATGGATGTCGGCAATACGACATCAAAATCTTTTGGAACATTTTGCAAATTTGGTTCCACAAAAGAAACTCGCCCAGTTGCAGTATGTGTTTGACTAATTGAGTAAATTCGTGACATTTTAAGCCTCGTATGCAAGCATTTCTCCTTTTGTAATGGAAAAACAACCTTTGTTAGGGCCGCGTTTATCCTGCGCCATTCTATGATAAGTCCTGGTAGCGGATGCAGTGGTTTGAGTCTTTCTAACACGTCTTTATTAGTGCTAAGATGTTTGCTACCACGTGACCTTCCACGTCGGGTCACTCCCAAAGTCTTACGCTTGGTGACCTGGCCATCTTCAGAGTTTCCGTCATGAGGAAGCTTGAGCTCCACAAAAAGAACCTAAATGGGAGGAGAGGGAAGGGATGTGCGAAAAACGGTTTTTTCAGTGCAGAGAATTATTACTGGACTGCCAAACACTACATAGTAAAACAATTTAGCCAAGATAATTCCGACAAATTTACTTTACAAGACGAATTCTGCAATAGTCAGGTGGAATGCAATCTAGAATAAATTGCTTAACAAATTGGGCATTACAGCATGATCAAAGCAAACTAATTTTTCCCTGTGTAAAAATATGGTTTAAAAAGTTGAACGAAGGAGAATAAGGATCCATAAGTTACCTAAGCTATCTTCTCGATGCACTTAGGGGAGACGAGAGATTATAAGAAGTCTTTAACGCCATTATCAAATTGATCAACCAAACTTTAAGATACCTAAATTCATTTAATTTAAAAAGATGATTTACATGTGTCACACCTGCGCTACATCTTCACGACTGGTCAGTGAGAAGCTGTGATTGGCCAGTCGGTAGGATTCTTCCTCCAGAGTACGAAGCTTGGCTTGTAGAATGTTCTTCAGATGTTCACTTTCGGTATCAGAGAATCCCAAACCATTTAACTCCATACGCGCCAAACACAATACGGATGGCATCTCTACCTACGATGGTTAAAACATTTCGCATCAAACGTTTCCCATAGGATAAAATTTCTCCCAAATTGAGCGGGGAATGTTAAAACTTGAAGGAGGAGAACTTGTGATGTAGATAGATAGATAGATAAAACTTTATTTTAACACGATAAATATTTAAAGCCAGAGGCTTGTGGGGTCGTGTTACCACAATATTAATATAACATAAATAACATTAATAGACTATAATATGAATAAATTTATCTAAAAATACATAAAAAATAACACTTATATATATACATATATATAAATGTAGGGGTAGAGTCTACCTTGGCATAAAGTGCTCAATGCTGTGGTAGCAGAGCTGAGTATATATAAGTGAAAGAATCAAAGAGGAACAGAACTTTCTAGTTCTGTCTGACCAGCGCTTAGGCGCGAAACTCAGAGTAACAGAGAATCGATGCGTCGTCTTTGATTCTTTCACTAATATATATATATATATATATTTATATATGTATATATATATATGTATGTATGTATATACTCTACCTTCACTCTACCTATGTGTTGACATTACACGCGGATTTTCTGCACTTCTGTGATAGTCCAAGTCAGCCAAAAAAGCGCGCACAGCTTCGGGCCTCTTTAAGCGCCGCCTACTTTGCATGTTACGAGATGGTATTCTCTTCATCTTTGCTATCAACCTCATAGCTTCTCCCGAAGTGAATGTCAAACTCACAAGCGAAGGCTTAGAATTCCAAAGTTAATTTTAAAATTTCAAGTAGTTTCAGTAAAGCAAACCTTGGTGAAAGCTTGCACGAGGTCTTCAGACTCCAGCAAGGTTCTCAGCTTTGCCATCAATGAAAGAACTAAAACAGTCTCGACGCAGGCTCTCACTCTACCGCTCTGCTGACATTGATATGCTAAAGCCAGACCTCCTGTACCCAGTCCACCTCCGGTACCTGAAAGTAAAATTATTCCCGTGTAGTCATATGTGGTCAACAAATTAGCGAAGAAATGCCCTCTTTCGCATCAGGTTAGAATGGTATTGGAAGACTCAAAATGTACTAAAAAAACCTTGAATTCTTGATCTCACGAAGTTTTTCATTTTCTTGTAGATATTAGTCTCCTTCACAGCCGTTACTTGGTCTCATCACGCAACACTTGTAGTGGAGAGAGCGTACTGTTGGACAAGAGCAAATAACGGCGGTAAAGGAGACTATGCAGGGCTGGAAGCGAAAAGAAACGTAATATAACCTTCGAGTAAGGAAGCTTCTTCCGGTAAGTGCTGTCCCACAAGCTGGTGAAGGTTCTTTTCCTTGGCTCCAGGATCCAAAAGCCAACTCGCCACCTTTGGATCGTCTGCTGGTCCACTGAGAGAGATGCCAGTAGACTGAGCAAATATCTGCAGCAAAACGATCCATCAACTGAAGAGGCAATACAGTAGTCACTGTAAAACTGGTATTCTTACATTAAATATCCATTCTCACCTTAAAGTGTTCCTTGACATTGAAGCATACCATGCTGCTTCCTCTTTCTGTCAGTAACCTAATGGTACTCTTTACTTCATTTACACGACGAGAAAGCGTGAGGTTATAATCTACCGCTGACTCGGCCTGACTGTCATCCACTCGATTGCGCGACGACTGAGCATGTTCCAGAAATGAAATGTAATAAGCATCTTTATCGCCCCAGCTCACTGCAACTCCGACCACGCTCTTGTCCTCTCCTTCAATTATAAGGCCTCTTGACGTTTGGGCGTTGCTGAATCGTGCTCCTATCTTAGGATTTTTATCTAAGGAGCGTTCACAAGCCACAGCCAACGAAAAACGAGTTTGACTGCGCCATTCTTTCAGAAACATAGCAAACACTTGCTCATGTCCCGTGACGTCAATAATAACAAGTCCTTCATCTGGGGTAGAGGAATACGGTGTTCTTCGTGGGGATGGACGCTTTCGTGTTGACAATGGAGTTGCAGAAGTTTTTGTTTTAAAATTATCCTGGGATGGCATTTGCTCCCTTGGAGGTGTAGAAGGAATGACTTCGTAATCTGCTGTCTCATTTCCTTCAGTTTCACCAGCAGCTAACAGTTCATACGGTGAAATCTTCTTAGCAGGCGACTTTTGATCGCCACCGAAGGATGAATCAGTACATTCAGAATTCTTGATTTTAGTAAAATAAGACCCATTCTGTTGTACCTGAGGCAAGTGCTGCAAGGCGCAGGTTTCCGCATGTTTCCGAAGTTCTTTCCCCTCAGCTTCTTTCTCCATTAACTCTGCAATAGCCAAAGTGGACAGATCAGAATCCAGGCAACCGTCACTGGCCGACAGACGAAGTGAAAATGAACTTGCCGCGCCAGTTGAACTTCTAGCATCTGCTACTGAGCATTCGGGTGACTTAAGAGCTCGAGAAGCTAATGATGACAACATCTCCGGGCTTCGTTCGGCATCAAATTCTCCCGATAACGAATGACGCAATGGGATGTCATATTCACCAATAACATCTTGACTCTTAAGCTCAGCCAAACTGTCGGTCTGATCTGTCAGAGCATTGGAAATCTTATCACAAACAACTTCACATTCTCTCTTCGCAGGAATTAAATCTTGTGACAACTT